TAGGGAAAGCCAGGCTGAGAGCTGAAAAGGGCAAAAGGCCCTGCTGAGACCCTCTGGTCTCCTGGAACCCCAGGCTTGGGGGGTAGACAAGAACCTCTGAGGTCATCTGTTCAGCCCCCTACAACCATGACCTCAGTGTGGACCCTGTGGCACACACAGTTCTGTTGACAGGCCTTTGGAGAGGTAAGGGACAAATGGGAGAAATACACATACCATGCCCACCTCCCCCCAAATAAGCATGTTAGCACTGAAAGTCTCCCAAGTCCTGTAGGAGAGAAACCTGCTATATTAGTCAGGGTTCTCCAGAGAAACAGAACCAAGATGAGATACATATATATATACATATACATAGAGAGAGAGAGGGAGCAAACAAGAGAGGTTTATTTTAAGGAATTAGCTCATGGGATTATGGGGACTGGCTAGTCTGGGATTTGCAGGGCAGGCTAGAAATTCCCACGAGACTTTATTTTGAAGTCAAGGCTGAAGGTGGAGTTCTTTTCTTTTTCCGGGGACCTCCATCTTTTCTCTTAAGGTCTTCAACTGTTTGGATGAGGCCCACCTACATGATGGAGGGCAATCTGCTTTACTCAGTCTATTGATTTAAACGTTAACCACATCTATGGGAATTCTCTGGTGGTCCAGTGGTTAAGACTTCACCTTCCAGTGCATTGGGTGTGGGTACGATCCCTGGCTGGGAGCTAATATGCCACATGCCTTGCGGCCAAAAAAACCAAAACGTAAAATAGAAGCAATATTGTAACAAATTCAGTAAAGACCTTAAAAATGGTCCACATCAAAAAAATCCTAAAAATAGATAAATATTAACCACATCTAAAAATACCTTCACAGCAACATCTAGACTGGTGTTTAACCAAACAACTGGGCACCAGGCCCTAGCCAAGTTGACACATGGAATTAACCACAGTCCATGCTTAACCTTGTCTAACTAGTACTTTTCACTGGGATACTCATGCCTGTGATGAGGGCCTGTGTTCCTCATGGCCTCTCTGGGAAACACCGACAAGAGCGCACTGGGGACATGATTCAGCCCTGCTTGGAGAGTGTGCCAGCCTGCTCCATTTCCCAGCCTCTCTGCTTGTTGCTAGGCTCTCCCATCGTTCCTATCACTTCTGTCCTTGAGTCACTGGAAGGAAATGCAGTACCTCCTGCCCGTGACAGCCCTTCAGTTATCTGAAGCCGGTTTTCATATGTCTCCTCCTCAAGTCTTTTCTTCCCAGGCTCCCACCTGTAGCTCTTTGGGCCAATCCTCCTGCGCCAGGCTTTCCAGAACCTTCCTCCTGGGCTGGCTGGCAGGTGTGCTTCGTGTTTTGGGCATCCTACTGCT